ATTTCTGTGATCGTGGCTCCTAATCGGTGGTCCTGTGTCGTACAGTGAGAGGTCCAAAGACGGCCGTAGTCACGGTCTTGCGACCAAAGATAGCCTACGATACAGCATGATCATCGCACCGTGTGTTTGCTGTTACGATCCACGTTTACTGACCAACCAATAAAAATGCGACATGGCGCTAAAACATAAAACTGCATACCTCTAGCTCTTATCCCCTCCTCTTTCGCCGCTTCCGCATTTATCATGCTCTTTTTGTTTACCACTAGCGCATGCTGATGATGTTCTATTCTTCTATAGGAACGTGCATCGTAGCGTATGAGTCAACAGGTGTCATCATCGTACGGTCTACACGCAAGTCCTACCCAAGTTTATTAGATCCATGTTGCACAGTGTGACATGCAGTGATATTATAGGACTGCTAAAATCGTGCAGTGTGTTTTGGGCTTTATGGGACAGACCTAGATGCGGTAATTAAGCAATTAAAAGACAGCAGTAATTAGGATTTTTTTGTGACAGTTACCTCATGTGATCCACCTGTCTTCCTGACACAAGGGGAGAAATGAAACATGATTACCATTGCTGGCTCAAGGGCCTCTTGAACAACAGGTGTTACTGGCCGAGCTCACAGGTGACACGTGAAGGTGGTTTAAATTTTAAAAAGATACTGTATTACTGCATACATAAGCTTCACATCAGATATCTCAGCCCCTGTCATTCAAGATGCTGTCACAAAACAAACAAAAAAAATAATCTGAGTGTAGTTATGCTATGTGATGTGTGTGTGTGTTGCATTACCGCATCTAGGTCTGTCCCAAACACACATATGTATACAGATAAAGCCACATACATATATAGAAAGAAAGAGTATTTTTTTCGTGGATCACAAAAACATATATAAATTAACTATTAATATCAATTAATATGCGAAAACTTGGCTTTAAAAATATTTCTTTTCCATATTATGTTTTAAGGGAAGCTGGTTACCATGGTAAATGTTTGTAAGGGATGTTTTAGATCGTTGCGTGTACGCTGGCTAAAGCTAACGCTGGCTAACACATCTGTAGCTGGCCAGAGGCTGAATATGGACCTGAATAAATGACTGTTGACCAAGTTCACCATAAAATCAAGCCATATATATGATCAAACCTAAAGTTGTAAGACACGCCCACATACACACGCAAAAGTAGGTTGTCAGATATTAAAGTGCAACGACTCTCACAAAGCGTCACACAGCATCGCTATACGAGAATATCAGTTGACGTTAGCATAAGCACTAGCTGACGCGCTAATGCGTACTGTTGTCGTTTAATAAGAGACAGGCTTTTATCCGCTCGTAATGACATTTAAGGACCTGGGTTAAAAAGAAACACACGGTGGTAAAGTGGGGCGATAGTTTTTAGAGGCGGACTAGCATCTGTTCACACTAGAGACGCGCTCATGAAGTGCAATGAGCGTCCGCATGTGGTTTTGACAGCACTCATGACCTGCTTTGACATGACACCTACACTGGTCGGCCACACAACAGCATACTAACATAGCCCAGTGTAGCCTAAAAATATGCATATATTGCATTCTAAATGAATGACATCAACACATGTGCATATGGAAGACGCATTATTTACCTGTAATAGGACAGCAGCCCGTTGCTGAGCACGAACCATCTGCGCTGGTAACCTTTGATGTAGTTAGTCCATTTAAAGAGCCAGCCTTTGTATGTGTCCGAGCCCGGGGCTGGTGTCCCGCTCGCTGGCGTGGACGCGGCACTCTTGCCCTGCTCGCTCATGCTCCTCCTGCCCCGGTCCACTGCCGCAGACTGATGATGCCGCCGCCGCCGCTGCTGTTTGCAGGATAAGCACGGAACTGCGGTGAGAAAGGACACGATCCTGCCGGGGCCGTTGCAGGGAGCGGCCACTCTCCCCATAAAACTCACCGCCGATGCTCTGAGATGGACGGGCTACCAGATGAGGAGGAGGGTCTGGGGCAGGGAGAGAGAAACAGCGCACTCCCCCCTTTTTCTCCCCGATGACAGAGACATGAAAAGCAGCGAGTTAGAGAGCAGGAGCGACGACCACTGTCGCGAGAGGAGAGCGAAATCATCCGCGCACTACATACGCTCATAGTTTGTCATCCAGTCGCTCACATTTTACTCTACATTATTCACGTGAATTACAAACATACCAATAAGTACTGAGTAATACAAAACATGGGCTCGACAATAAAGAGTATTTAAAATGCTTACTATTATAGACACTTCTATAATGTTATAGACAATTCTAGTATTTATTTGATGTATTAATGTTATGTAAATTTACATTTAATCAATATCACGTGCTGTTGGACTATAATTAACTCCACTGTTAATAGTTTATAGTGAGTAACTTGCGTTTCAGACCATTTCTTCTGGTAAATTCTTGTCAGGGAAGATATTCTATGAAACCGTACATGTAAAGGCAATTCAGATAATTGTTTCTAAACACATTATAAATGTTAAAACTGTATTGTTTACAAAGACTGAATTGTGTAGTACTGAATTGTGGAGTTGTTGTTGTTTTGTTTTGTTTTACCATTTTTGTGTTAAGGTTTTTTGGGCGGGCCTGACATGTCTCGATGACGCACTGGAGCCACTGAGCATGGCCCCTCCCCTAACACTATAATAACTACTACTAGCAAGTATACTCTTTGCTACTAGTCTAGACCAGTGTTTCCCAACCGGTAGTTAGGGGTGTGCGATATGACGATTTTTGATCGTGGACGATTAAAATGTCTCCACGATCTGCTTTTGAAAGAAATATTGTTATATCGTGCTACAGCGCACATTCTAGTGTTAGCTCAGCGGTAGAGTTACTCTCACGGGACACTGAACTCGTGCGCAATCACAAAACTAGACTATTTCCATCTGCTTTAAAGGAATACCGGTTAAACATTTAATTCACGTTCTGTTCTGCATGCAGCGCTCACACTGAGAGCCTGTCAAAAAGCGCCTGATTATTGGACTAAGTTGTCTTTCGAATGCCTCACTCAAGTTTAGACAAAGCCCCAACCAATTACACTTGTTTTATTCTACTCGATGAGACTTTTCAAATGACATATGACACATGACTATCTGAGCTGTATGATGTTTCTGACATAGAACATAGAACATAGAACAAAAACATTTTTCATAAATTATGAAAACATTTTTTTCTATTTATCCGCAAATAACTCAGCACTACCTAGGAGTTAATCAAAGTGGCCACATGCATTGTAAAGGTCAGACTCCAAGCTTTCAAATGAGACCTATTTTGTGTTAAGGCAGATATTTGGAAAAATATGCTTATTTTTTTCTTCGCTAGGGGGCGCCCGTCGGCGGTACACTCCGGTTTAGAGGAACTAGGCAGCACTGGTTAGGAGTTGATCAAAATGGTTGGATGCATTCGAAAGCTGAATTTCTAAGCTTTGAAATGATACTTAATTATTTTAAAAAAGGGTTATATAAAAGATAAAATAGACAGAAACATTACAGGTTTTACATTCTGCTTGCCAAGTGTTCAACAGAGCTCTCCAACTGATTTCTTCAATTCATGGGTTTAGGTATTATTTACACACGAAAGACACAATGGATTGTTTTGATTTTGGACTAATTTCAATCGTGAGAATCTGCTGCCTGTAAATAATGATATGCCATTTCCCACAATCGGAGCATGTTTCATGAAATGATAAGCGTAAGAAACCATGAGAATATTGCATTTCCATGATCTAGTGCATGTTTCATAAAGTTACGAATAAAAGCGCAAATTGAAAGTAGTTATTTGTCCTGCTGCACCTGAAGTGCGCCCTTTGGTTTTATTTGTTATAGCAATATGAGCAATATCTTTGGATCTCATCGACAGATTATGGTAACTCTGGGCTCATTTTAATCGGGAGAATTTTCTGAAAATAATGACGTGCGGTTTTTCATGATCTATGCATGTTTCGTGAAGTTATGAATGAAAACGCAACGTGAAGCATAGAGCTGTCTTTTTGCAGCGCCTCAGTGCGCCTGTCTGCTTTCATGTGTTACAGCTCTATGAACGAAATATTTCGATCTGATTGACGGATTATGGTAAATTTGGGGTAATCGTGAATAATCGGGAGAATTTTCTGAAAATAATGCTGTGCGGTTTTTCAAGATCTATGCATGTTTGGTGAAGTTACGAGCTAAAACGGCACAGGACTGCAACCTCTGATTTTTTGCTTAGCATGACCTAATTCTTTTCTCTGTTTTATAGCTTTATGAGAGCTATAACACATATGTCTTTAGATCTAAACGATGGATTATGGTGAGTTTGGGCACTTTGTAATCGGGAGAATTTTCTGCAAATAGTGACGTGTCGTTTTCTATGATATATGCATGTTTCATGAAGTTATGAGCGAAAACGCTACATGCTAAACTACATGCTGCCTGTGCAGTTTTATGTGTGTTATAAATTCATGAGGAAAAT